ATCAACTCTTCTTTGGTCTTTCTTATTCATTGTCCTGCTCTCACATGGATATGAGGTAATTGAAAATACCATGGCTTAGGTTAGGTGCATCTTAGTCTTCAAGTAGATATCTTTGCTTTTTAGCATCTGAATGAGGTCTTTTGCAGGAGATTTGCCCAATGCAATACTTGACTGCTGCTTCCATTGGTGTTGATTGCAGAACCAAGTAATATGAAATCCTTAACAATTTCAGTCTTTTCTCCATCTCTCGTGATGCTGCTTATTGGTCCAGTTGTGAGTAATTTTGTTTTCTTTGTATTCAGGTGTAATCCATACTACAGACTTTAATCTTCATCAGTAAGTGCTCCAACTGATCCTTACTTCCAGCAAGCATAATTGTGTCATCTGCATATGTCAGGTTGTTAATGAGCCTTCCTCCAATCTGATGCCACGTTCTTCTTCATATAGTCCAGCTTCTCAGATTATTTGCTCAGCAAGCAGATTGAATAAATACGGTGAAAGGCTATAACCCTGACACACTCCCTTCCTGGTTTTAAAGCATGATGTTTTCCCTTGTTCAGTTTGAACGAAAGCCTCCTGGTCTATGTGCAGATTCCTCATGAGTACAACTAAGAGTTCTGTAATTCCTATTCTTCCTAATGTTATCCACAATTTTTTTATGATCCACACAATTGAATGCTTTTGCTTAGTCAATAAAACACAAGTAAACATCTTTCTGGTATTCTTTGCTTTGAGCCAAGATCCATTAACTCCTTGTTCCACATCCCCTTCTGAATCCAGTTTGCATTTCTGGAAGTTCTCTGTTAGTATACTGCTGCAAACTTTTTTGAATTATCTTCAGCAAGATTTTACTTGCATGCGATATCATTGATATTGTTCAATAATTTTCACATTCTGTGGGATCACCTTTCTTTGGAGTAAATATGGATCTCTTCCAGTCAGTTGGCCAGGAAGCTGTCTTCTGAATCTCTTGGTATAGCTGAATGAGTGCCTCCAGCATGGCATCCATTTGTTGAAACATCTCAATGGGTATTCCATCAATTCCTGGAACCTTGTTTTTCCCCACTTCCTTCAATGCAGTTTTGACTTCTTCCTTCAGTACCATTGGTTCTTGATCATATGCTACCTTCTGAAATGGATGATCATCTACCAGTTGTTTTTGGTATAGTGACTCTTTGTATTCCATCCATTTTGTTTTGATGTTTCCTGCATCATTCAACATGTTATCCATGGAATCTTGCAATATTGCGGTATTGCAATTCGAGGCTTAAATTTTTTCTTCAGTTCTTTCAGCTTGAGAAATGCCGAGTCTGTTCTTCCCTTTTGGTTTTCTAACTCTAGGTCTTTGCACATTTCATTATAGTAATTGACTTTGCCTTTTTGAGCTACTCTATGAAATATGTTCATCTCTTTTATCTTGTCGGTTCTTCCATCCCCTTTAGCTACTCTGCATTCAAGGGCAAGTTTCAGAATGTCTTCTGACATCCATTTTGGTCTTTTCCTCTTTTCTTGTCTTTTTAATGACCTTTTGCTTTCTTCATGGATGAAATTCTTGATGTCATCCCACAATTGCTCTGGTTTTCGGGCATTGGTGTTTAATGGATCAAATCTATTCTTTTAGATGGTCTCTAAATTCAGGAGGTATATAATGAAGGTCATATTTTGGCACTTATGGACTTCTTTTAATTATCTTTACCTTCAATCTGAACTTGTGTATGAGCAGTTTGATGGTTTGTTCCACAATCTGCTCCTGGCCTTGTTTTGGCTGAAGATATTGCGCTTCTCCATCGCCTCTTGCTACAGATGTAGTCAATCTGATTCCTGTACACTCCGTCTGGTGAAGTCTATGTATGCAGCCACCATTTGTGGTTTTGGAAAAGGGTATTTGCAATGAATAAGTCGTTGGTTTTGCAAAATTCTGTCATGCGATCTTCAGTGTTTTTTCTATCACCAAGGCCATAATTTTCAACT